GACTATTCTGTGCTCTCTCCCCCATCTACAATTGTACTTTAAGTACTTTTTGAAAAAGTAGTGGAGTGATTGATTTCTCTAAAAATCAAGTAAATTGATTAACTGAATTACAAAAAAGCCTGCTAAAAATTGTTGGCAGGGACAGGACTAAAGGCCACAGACCAACAGCTGCAAAGCAGCTGAGAGAACTTGGCAGGAGTTCTTGTTTCCTTTTAACTCTCATAATTCTATGCAAGCATGGGGGCCTCTCCAACGGCAGCAAATGCCTTGCCTCGAGTCCAGGTAAGCATGGGATGCATCTGGAAGCATCTGGCTTCCTAATATATTCTCAGGGCATGCACTCCATTTCTTAAAAATATTTTATTAAAGTAATAACAAAAAACACTATAAATCAGTCACCGGAGAAGATCAATCGAAAACTGTGTAGTTCCCAGTAGGGCTGAGCGAAGCTTTGGGAGCCAATTAAATTAGGAGTTGAGGGGTAGTATCTCATTAATGCATTCTGCAGTTTGCCAACTGTGTTAAATACCCAGCTGTTAGCTGACTCCAGGTAGGAAGCCCTGGGAATTGGTATCCAGATAGGCTAGCTGAAGGGTTGCCCGAGATGCCCTATTCAGTCTCTTTCACTCACAGAGAGGGCCTGGAGCATAAACCTGCAGGGATCAGGAGACATTTTGGAAGGCTGGAGTGAATAATCCTGCTAAAGACTGTTGTCAGGGACAAGACTAAGGTCCCTGCATCAAGAACTGCAAACCTGGTGAGAGAACTGGGCAGTAATTGTTTCCTTGTAATTGCCGACAGAACCCAGGCCCCAGGGAAAGGAATTGTATAAACCTTCTAGACCAGGGATTCAACCAGGGTCCCACAGGAAATGTAAGGAGATGAGGGAGGTACATGGAGATAAGCAGGTATGGACAGGCTCAGGCTTTCCCTGCTTGGTGGCTCAGCTAACACCACTGCCTTGTTCCTCTGCAAGGAGGCGAGTACTATAATAAGTTGTCTTTTGAAATGGGATGCTGTTCAATTCACATAAGCTTGAGTCCAAAAAATGGTGCCTTGGATCTAAAAAGGTTGAGAAGCACTGTTCTAGACCAAGTTATTAAAATACCCCAAAGGATATTTAGCAGGGCCACACTGCCATGAGAAGGCATGCCCTGGGATAGCACCTTACTACAGTGTATCATTCATCAGCTAATGACACCTGGCAGATTAACAAGTAATCCAATTGTGACGTGAAGGATGAACACATTGCTGCTTCTCATTCAGAGCATGAGACAAGAACAGGTATTTGTCATGTAACTGCAGCTCCTCCTTTTAGAGGACCCAGGAACTATAAGCAGCACACAAATACAGGCACACATGGGGCAAGTGGCTTGCTACATCATATATTGGAGTTTTAAGGAGACTAATTTTGTAGTTACATACTAGGTCAGTGGTTGTCAACTGAGGGTACATGTACCCCTAGGTGTACTTAAAAAGGTCCTAGGTGGTACTCAGACCTAATGTGGCCAATAAATGCCGCATGCGGGTGCACAGCTGCAGCACAGCATGCAGGAGAGCAGCTGGGTCAGGCTGGTAGGTAGGTTGTGAGGGAAGGGGCCAAGGGAGGGGCCAGGGGGTAGCTCGAGGCCCCAGTGGTGGGGGAGTGAGTGGGGCTTGGGCAGGGCACCGAACTGACTTACATGGAGAGCGGATCCCACTGCTATGAGCGCCCCAAGGGGGCACCGGGGGGGGCGGGATATGCCCCAGATCTGTGTGGGGCAGGG